TTCCGTGTACTTCCCTGAGGATCCGATTTTTGTACATTGTCTGTTCCATGTGGGAAGCATTACCCAGTGTTACCCTTTCGTAGTTGTGGGTGGATCTGTCGTTTCTTCTTCCCCCTCCTGTTTGCCATCTGCTTCCGTGTGGTGGGAAAACATCAGGCTTGCTGGCTGGTTCGGGGTCCGCCAGGGTCCAGATCCACGCTGGGGTCTCTCTGAGATCGTCAAAAACCCAGCCTGTGTAGGCTGGGTCGTTTATTATCCAGATCCCCTTCATTGATTCTGCTTCCACGAGCAAGGAGGGGTTCAGCCTCCTTCCCTCTCCCTTTCTAGTGTTCTGGGGGCAGAGGGGATTATTTCCCATGTGCCCTTTTATCCTGCATCTGAAGCACATGGGGTTTGATTTCGTGGAGATGTACACTGTTCGTACTTCATGACCCACTTTGAAGAACCATTTCTCAGGGAGCTCGGGCGGATTGCTAGCCTTGAGTTCGACACACGCAATTCTGGAGTTGGCGCTGGGAGTGAGGAATCCTGGTGTTGATGATACCCATTCCACTAGCGGGCATTGGGGATAGGCTTCCTTCAGTCTTTCCTCTACTAGTCCATGCAGGCCGTTAGTCAGGTTGTCAAATTGTATCCAGTAATGCTTGCTCATCAGTGACTGTTTGTGCCTTGAAGATCCTTGCATCGCGGATCTGTTTGGGCGCCATTTGGAGATTGAGACAACTGAACCTTCACAGTACAGGGCCTGGACTGAGAGAAGGAAGGCTGAGAAATCTGTTTCAGCGCACAGGACAGTGACTGCGTTTCTGCCTCTCTGTTGGTATGCGACTTTGGGTTCAGTGTCCCTCAAATTTTCAAGATTTCTGAGAGCATCACGCATTCTCCTTCTTTTTTCGGTCGGGGACAAATGCTTCAGTTTGGCCGGAAAAGAACAGACTACTGTGTGAGATTCGTAGAACTCATCTAGGACAGGAAAATGATCTTTAGGATATTCCCAAACCTCTACTTCGATCTCTTCATCTCCCTCCTTCATCAGTGTGGTGGAGATGACTGGGGTGATTCTTGTTTCTTTAACCATCAGATTGAGTACTTCCTGGCTTGGGTCTTGTTCATTATGTCTGGGTGTCCTCTCCCTTCTGTATGCTGTGCTTGATGCTGAGGAAGTCGTCGGGGTCAAGTTAACGCCGTGGGTGTGTGTTTGCCATGGTGAGCGAGCTTGCCACTGGCTGGGTGTTGGAGACGGCGATTAGAACGGGGCACTTGATTCCAGATTAGGGGCGACGGGGAACTAAGTAGCCACGCTTGTCCTGGACCCCGGGCAGGCGAATGTAGTGCTTTCATTGGATTTCAATATGATCAGACATTAATTAAAGATGTGCGGACAGTAAGATGGAGAGTTCAGGGGTTGAAAGAGTTGAGAAAGTGCTGAAAGGCCTCTTGGGATTGGGTGGGTTACGGGCTGGCATTTGTGGGAGAGATGATTTGCGCTAGACGAGGTGTGAGGGGGTAGTTTTGTGGATTCCGGTGGAAGCAGGTACAATGGTGGAGCACGGTGTAATTTGGTGGGGAGTGACGACTAGGAGAGTGTCGTGGATACGAATGTGAACTATTTGTCGCTTAAGTCAAAGTGAACAATTCGATACTAGTAATAATGATAATCATAGTAGTAGGTTAATGGCAATTTTAATAAAATTAATGGTTCAAAGAATATTAATGCGGTGAGAGATTTAAATAGTTGGAGCGTTCATAAATAATTCGTCGTAATAGTTGCTAAAGGTATTTAATAAGAAATAAAGGTTGCGGCCGATGACCGATGTGAGCGAATGGGTGTGGGGGAGTGTTTTAGGGTGAGTGAGATTAGTGTGAGCGTTCTCTCTGTTCTCTTTGAAGTGGAGCGAGCCCCTTTCTGACACTCTACTGATGTGATTCTCCCTTCCCCTTCTTCCCTCCCCTTATTTGCAATAACTCGCTCTTGTCTCTTTTCTTTACTCGCCTTGTCGTGTCAGTTGCTATGAGGCTAAAAACGGGTTCTCCTAGGCGTCTACTGAATCTTGGCTCTTGTGTCATTAAGAGGAAAGATTTCGAGATTGGGATTTCGCCGCGGCTTTTGTCGCGGATGAAATCGATTGAGGTACTGAAAATGGCTAAGAGGGCGTCTCTACTGGTGATAGAAGCCGCCGGAGCGCGGTGATCGATGAGACCGGCACGGGCTATACTAGCTTATGGGTCGCTTCTTCGTCGTACGTGACTCTTCCTCATTCGACGATTGGGAGGACATGACTGTGTGGGAGCACTACGGTCGGATCGGATCTTTGCTCCAAATCAGGTGAGGTAGTGAGAGTGTTACTTGCCTTCTGGTTTGGGATTGGTTTGACGGAGTAGCTTTCACCTTCTGTTCCGGTTAGGCGTTACTCGAGAAAGGAGATTCCGAGCGAAACTTCCGACTCACTTTTACGGCGGCGGGTTGCTCCCTTGAGATGCTTCCGTGTTTGTTGGCTCTGCTGGTGTCGCTAGTGTCTTTGCCGTGCCTTGCGTCTTCCTTGTTGTCGTTGCGTGTGGGATGCTCCCTTCCCTTGATTCGCCTTTGCCCTTAGTTTTCCCCTCCTCCTTATTCCCTTCTTTTGTCTCTACTTCCTTCTCTTGTTTCGCCTATGCCCCTATACTCCTCTTCACTGTTCCCTTCTTTTGTCTCTCCTGCCCGTTCTGTTTTTTCCTTACTGGGGATTACCCTCTCTCGTCTCCCCTTACCTCCTCTTCCTCCTTTTCTTTTCCTGTTACCCGTCTTGCTCTCAAGTGTGTTTTGTCCTTTCCCCTTCTTGTCTACCCTTGAGTTCGCCTTTCCTTGGAGTACTTTGTCCTGGCTTCCGCTTGCTTCTTCCGTGATGATTGCCGTGCTATTGTGGCTATGGTGCCTACTTCGCCACGCCCGAAGGCGTGGCACCCTCTCGTGGTTCGCGCCCAGATTCAAACCAAGTGCTTCCTCGAAAAACTGCGCGATTGGCACGAAAAGGGCTCTCGTCGGTTCGGCCCGACTTTGGCGGGCGGTGGGACGCGATAGGGCGTAGAATTAGCGCTGACCTTCGGCGCTCGCGAAAGTCGTCCTCTCTCACTTCATATTTTTATATGTTGAAGAAAGAAAGCGGCCTCTTACGATGTCGGTCGCTTTATCTGGTGTGAAGCGCCCTTGCTAAGTGAGTAAACGATTCGTTTGTAGGTCCATCAAGAGCACCTCGCGCCTTTCCAGGAGTCATGTTACCAGGCTTACTCTTGATAGTTTTGATATATAGGCAATGAATAATATTAAATCAATAAGAATTTAATTAAATTAGCAGAATAAATTAAATTGCAATGATCCGGGGTACAGGGGCATACTGCAGCAGCGCGTCAATCCTTTAAAAAAATGAGTATAGGGT